CTTTTATATTTAAAATACTTTGCTGATGCTTTTATAAATGTTTTATGGGTCCAGAAATTGCTAATATATTGTGACTCTATGTTGCCCTGCAGCCTGTTATCATACTTTTTAATGCATTTTAAAAAAGAGGTTTTCTTGATTCCTTTGCCAAATTGGTGACGGTGATTGTTCCCCCCGCTAGAGTTTTTAGTTCTCTCTGACAATAGTACATGTTTCATTTGTACTGTACAAATTATATCCAGGTGTTCTTGTACTGAACATGGTCAGTTTTCCAGCTCCCACCTGTTGTATCTAGGTCACATTTCCATTTACTGGGAACATGGCAGGTATAGATAGAGGAAAATGCTAGCTGGCTTGCAGTTAGTGGCAAACATTCATGGGAAGTTATTCTATATTAATGCCAGAAAGGACCCAGTATAGAAGGCTATGCTTATTTTTCATTCATATTCTGGGAAGTACACAGTCCAGTCAAAAACTCAATTGAACTTTACCAGAAGTTCTGATAAGGAGCTGATGCAAGCCTCATCTGGCTTTGCGATGTAAATTTTGTTTATGCTGCTCTTTCTCTCATGCACCTAGAACACTGTGAAATTTTTGTTCTTGGAGATGTAGAAGTTTCCATTACATGCCCTCTCTAGCTCTCAGCCTGTCACCTTGATGATCAAACAGGCAGGATATGCAGCACTAATTCCAGTTTGTATGATTTGCAAAGAGGACAATGGGATGAGATGGCTTCCTATATAGTAAATCTGTTTTTGGCTATATTTCTCTAAAGGAATATTGCTCTTGTTATGTTAAAACCTTGGAGGAAATTGCTATTTTTAAACAATGTAGACGACTCATTTTACATATTCAGCTCTGACTGCCAGTAACACTCAAGCAAACTGTAAAGATCTCTCTGTCTTTTGCCAAATGTAATCCTGAATTTCTTGCCATAACGCCTGTAAAATAAATTGAGAATTAATTACTGATTTTAACCACATAAGCATCCCTACCAAAGACAGCATACAGTATATGTGTCTTCAGTGTTTCTTGTTCATTTCTGTTTGGGAAGAGAAATTCAGGGATAAATCGGTCAAGGAAAGAAGTGAATGAAAAAAAGACTAGCAATTAAGTTCAATAAAGTATAAAAAAATATTTCTATTGAATGGTAACATGCAGTGTATCTAAGGAAATATGGAATGTAGAGAGAAGTGATCTTGGATGGGATTGGCTACTTAGACAATCTCTTAAGAAGAATGTATGTAATGTTTATTTTCTATTATCTTCCCTACCCGTTCCTTGCTTTCTCATAATTACATTTATAATAGTATGTTAAGTGGGCATGGATTTTATATGCAGTTTTAGCTTATTCAGTTTGCATAGGACAGCAACTAGGATATATGATTCCTGTTTTTCTTTTTTTTTGTAAATTAAATATTCAAATAAACTTTTGGAACCATTTTCCCAGGATATTTTTGTGTCAAACTGAATGTTAACATATTGCCTTCTGCAGGGTGAAATGCCTTGTACCTTTTATCTTCAGTTACTGAAGCGGAGTCCCAGTGGGAAAAACCTGACAAGGATATTCTTGCCCTGGTTTTTAAATTATCTGTCACCGAAAGGAGCATCTTCTTGCACCAATTATTCCAAGAGAGTAGTTGATTCAGTAGTCCTGTGCATTGGGGACAAATATAAAGTAGAAGCCAGCCCCTCTTGTAATTTGTGGAACAGTCCCAAAGAGAGAAGAGGTGGAAATGTTTGTTGGAGGACTGGTCTCTTCAAAATTCTGGTGGTTTTAATGTGTTCTGAAAATAGGAGTTTCTTGGATAGCAGAAGGGGAAAAATTGTTTATTGAATGCAGGTAGTCCTTGTCTTACAACCACTTATTTAATGACTGTTGGGGTTATAATAACACTGAAAAAAGTGACTTGCAACCAGTTCTCACTTATGACAGTTGCAGCATCCACACAGTCACATGATCAGACTTTGAGTGCTTTGCAAGTAGCATGTATTTATGATGGTTGCAATGTCCCAGGATCCCAGGAATGCCATTTGCAACCTTCCTAGTGAGCTTTTGACAACCAAAATGAATGGGGGAAGCCAGATTTGCTTGACTGCAAATTCCTTGCTTGACTTTCACTTTCACTGTAGTGCTTCACTTAACAACCATGACAAAAAAGTTGCAACATAGGGCACGACTCCCATAACAACTGCCTTGCTTAGCAACAGAAATTTTGGGTTCAATTATGGTATTACATCAAGGGCTGTAGTTGTCTATACACTAAAAAGCAAACCAGTTGAGTATGAAATAACATCCTGAATCATTGACTTGAGAATGGGCAGCTATAGAAATCGAATGAATAACTAAACAAGACCAACCACATGCCACACCTGCCATACATCAAAAACATTTTGGAAGCTGTAGAACGCATCCAGAATATGTAATCCAGAACGTAACTGGCTGTATTTAGGTTTAGGTTTAGGTTTTATTGAATTTGTATACCGCCCTACTCCCGAAGGACTCAGGGCGGTGAACAGGCACAGGATAAAATACAGAAATACAAAAGTTAAAAATTTAAAACCAAATTAAATAATTTGGCCCACGACAATTTAAAATCCTGTCGTGTTGCAGGAATTTGTTCCATAATTTGAAAGTATCATTGTTACCTAGACTTGACGGCTCATGCGTGGAATTTAATCAGCTGTGTTATGCCTGACACAGTTCCAGTTGGAATCAGAAGCTATTTGGAAATCAGAATTATATACTGTAAAATGCTAGTCGTCTTTGAAGCCAGGTGCTGCTTCTAGGCTACTCAATGGGAATGGCTGGGACAATATGCAAGAGAAATGGTAAAAAATGAAGATCCTTGCTAGCTTTTTTTCTCATCAAGGATTCTAAGTACATGCTTGGTTGATAATTGTAGGAAGGGTGGCCACAATCTCTTGGAGTATACACTTATTTCTAAGGGTAAACAGACACACTAATCAGATTATTTTGTCTGTGTTGGCTTTCCAGAAAGAACAAAACTATTAATCCCCAAAATATACTCCAAAGAGCATACAATTCCAAAGTACGTATTTTATGCCACTTAAAATTATGAACTAAGATGAAGAAACTAACAATTCTCCAAAATAATTGAAGAAACTCCCTCTGGTGTTTGAGTTCTGCTACAATCGCTTGTTCATCTGGACAAATAGAATACAATCATGAACATTTCAGTACTCTGTGAAGATAAATTAGGACGTGTCTTGCTTGCAGTTTTCTGCATCAGGGTACATTGGAATAACTTTTAAAGTACAATCAATTGAAAAAGATTTCTCTGCTGACTTGGACAAAGCCCTGCTTCATACCACTAGTTCATTGAAATAGCCGACCTAAGCCGTACATTGCTGGCTTGCTTCATCTGACAATACCCTTTCGGATTCATGAAAAATGTTCACTTCATTAATTCCACAAAAAATATGTCCTCCTGCTAAGCAAGGATGTGGTTTTAGGTTGAAGGTGAGGCTTGGAGTTCCCATTTGTGAATTTTCTACCCTCCTGAACAGAACCTCACTAGTAGATTTCAGTGTTCTAGCAAAGACCCAAAGTCTTGCAAAGCTGAAATATGTGGATTTTTGCATATAACTTCCACCTATTTAATATCTCACAAGCCTGTTTTGATAAGCAAATTACAAATTAAAACATTTATCTAGACCAGTGTTTGTCAACCTCGGGCAGGCCAGCTGGGGAATTCTGGGAGTTGAAGTCCGCATATCTTCACCTGCCCGAGGTTGACAAACACTGGTCTAGACAGATCTATTCACCGATTTAAGTTGCAGATTTATAATAACATGCTCAACTTGCCAATACAGGTAGTTCTCAATTTACAAGAGTTTGTTTAGTGACTGTTCAAAGTTACAATGGCACTGAAAAAACTGACTTGACCGTTTTTCACACAACCATTGCAGCATCCTTATTGTCACGTGATTAAAATTCAGATGCTTGGCAACTGGTTCATATTTATGATGGTTGCAGTGTCCCGGGGTCATGTGACCACCTTTTGCGACCTTCTAACAAGCAAAGTCAATGGGGGAGCCAGATTCACTTAGCAACCGTGTTATTAACTGCAGTGATTCACTTAACAACTGTGGCAAGGAAGGTCATAAAATGGGGCAAAACTCACTTAACAAATCTCTCTCTTAACAACAGAAATTGGGTTCAATTATGGTCATAAGTCAAGGACTGCCTGTAATTTTTAAGTCCCACCATACATTCTACTTCCCTAACGTTATTAGGGCTGTAGCATTAAATAACTTCATTGAGTACATGTTTTAAAAAAATAATAAGACAACTACATAAAATAGAAAAAGGTTTCTCAAGAAACACAGTATCTTTATATACATTGCATCGGAATACATTCTTCAGCTAATGCAATTAAGAGTGCATATAATTAATTAAGGCAGCATTTTTCAAACTTGGTACCTTTAAGATGCTGGTTGGGGAATTCTGGGAGTTGAAATTTACTCATTTCAAAATTACCAAATTTAAAAAACAATGATCTATGGCTTGGTACATGACAAACAAACTATTGTATTTCTATCATCAAAGTACATAAATTAGGCCATGCACACTGCAGGGTGTAAATATCATTTATTAATGTGAACACCTATATATTTACTGAAATTAAAATGCTTTGATGATTTATCAAATCACTGTTTTAATACTGAAAACAAAGCTTTTTCCAAACATGAAACAATCTGGACCTTTTTCTAAAGATGTTCACTGATAGAATCAGTTGATAAAAAAGAACAAGGTGCTATTACTATGATGCACTGATGCTAAATTGGCCCTTCGAATTAAAAAGTACATTTTTGTTACATTATTTCTTACAGTTCAGTTCAAAACACCTGAGAGTTACACTGGGTACTTTGGTTTGTTTTTCCTGTTATATCCGTATACAACTTAAGGCACTGCTTTTGACAACCCTCTTGACATAAGTCTTGTCCTCTTGAAAGAGAAGAACTAGAAGAAACAATTTGTTTAAATCAGGTTTATTTCAGGAAAGTTATTAAATTTGAAGTGCACATAGCCCTGATGGTTTCGGAGTAGGGAAGCTGTGGATATTTGTAAAAAAAAAAAAAAAAATCAGTGAAAGTATATCTCTAGCTATATAAAGATAACAATATCTCTCAGTGGTAAGGATAACTGAATCAAATTAAACAGTAACACAAAAGAAGATATGCAGATCTCGTCTGTTATTTCAGTTATTCAAATGTACTGAAAAACTACTTGGAAAGGATGTTAAACTCAAAATAAATCAAAGCTCCTCTGTTCATGGAAACAGATACAACTAAAGGATCTCCTGACAGGATCATTTAGCACAGAAACCATTTAGAACTGGAGAAAAGATTGGATAATTGTAAAAATTAAATATGCCCTTACAGTTGGAAAGAAATTTGAAGGCTTGCTTTAAACAGAACCTAAATTACCTACAAACCAGATGTGTAACTTATTTTCATTACAAAATCCTAGCAGCAAGTACAGCCTTAATAAGAACATCATTTTCACACAGATAAGTAAGCCCATCTGTCAAAAGATAATTGCAAAGAAGGGGAGCAGGAATTAGATCCATTCAGTCTTGTAGAAATATATTATGCTTGCATGCAGAGAAGCAGCTGATCAAATTGGTTAATTTTAATAGCTTTCAGGCAATGCTTTCTTTCCCAAACTAGAGACGATGACTATCAGAGGGAGCCATCTCTGCTGGTGATACACTGGTAGTATCCATTATTATTGGTTAGGCTTATAAATGAAATACATTTTAAAGGAATAAAAATTCTGGATCCAGATCTTTTTTTCCTCCTTTAACCTTTTCTTTCAATCAATGTTTCACCAGTTCACTATATTAATGATCACTTGAAATGATGATAATCCTTTCAGAAGTTCAGAATCCTTCTATTGAAACTTTTTCTGATAAAACAAGAAAACAAATCAGTCCAAGATATATAAATGTTTTCTATCATGTACTTTATAATGCATTTCTAATTCTGGAATAGGAATTCATTCCGGACCAATTTCAGAGGTCTTTAACTCTAAATTCCATGGAAATCACAGATAAGCTTTTAAAAAATAAAGAACTTTAAACAGTTTAATGTTAAGTGGAAAGTTTGGCAACTCTTTTTAGAAATAAAAAAATTCAGACTGGATTTGCTCTTTGTAATCAGAATCACAACCTTAGTGCAATATGATATTTATTTCTTACAGTAATTTTGGTTGCCATACAAGAGTAGTAAGGATTAGGGAAAGTGCAAGTTACAGGAGCTTGATTTGTTTTAATCAATTGGAAATTAGAGGAATGAAAGCACAAAAAATTACAGCAACATAGATAACGTGAACATAGTTGTTTCACAAACCATAGCAAAAACATTACTCTCTAAAAAAAGAAAAAAAAAGATGTAATGAGAAAATTATCATTATTTTAGGCTCATACACAGAGTCATTGCCAGATCAACTGGATAATGCTTATTTGTAAAGGAACTCAGAAAAATCACTTTTATTAACTTAGGTACCACAAAGAGCTAGCTTCTGTGATATGTAAATTCTGTAAATCAACAGTCACATATAGTCATTTTATAATATATGAATCAAAACTAGACACCTAGGGAAAGGAGTCTGTGTAGTTATACACAATTTACATCTTGTGTGATTTTGGTATTGTATACACAAATATTACAGAAACTAAGCATGTAAATGCAATTTATTAAATTACAGTATATAAACAAAAGTTGTTCCTAAAACCTGGAATATCATAACAAGATTATTTTTAATCACTGTATTTTGCACCATCAAAGTAGCATAACATTAAAAGAGCCAATCTGCTCCTGACATTTTCAGTATTGACCAAAATGCTAGGAGATAATTCTGCATCCTTTACTATTGCTTTCTATTATAAAGCCATCAAACAATGCTAAAGACTATTTCAGCTTGCCAAAGGTGTTTTTTCTTGATATAAAGCAATTCCTTGCAGGCCCTATTACTCTAGATCATACAACATTATTTAAAAAATAAATCATTTCATTAGCTCTTTGATGTTTAAAATCTTCTCTAATAATTATATTGTACTCACTATTTAAGTGCCTGAAAAGATACATGGGCAAGAGACCCCTTTTAAGAAAGGGGGTACCATCACCAATAATTTGTTAACAAACATTATATACTAAACAGTAAAATATTATGATTAACAGCAGCTTAAAAGTAATCCCCCCCTTTTTTTTCTCTTGTATCACTTGTCCTAATGCATTTTCTGGCACATTATAGAGGTAACACCAAATGCACTCAAAGAAATAAAAAGGAGCATGGTATTATGGTTTATTTACTGATTTCTGCATTATCACCAAATGGAAGACAATGATGTCAAAATCATCTTACTTTTACACCCTTCCCCTGCCCCTATCAAAAGAAAAATTGTGTTGCTATCAAATATGTGAATATTGTCCTCTAGATACAATATTGTATCAATATTTCAAAATTTTTGCACTAAACTTGATTTTAATTACAAATCCATTTGGAGTATGCAAATGTTGAAAGATATCTGAAAAGGGTCTAAGTGACAATAATTTAAAGGACCAGTTTTGATAGCAGAAGGAGGAGAGGGGGGAGTGACTTTTTTTTTTTCCTTTTTAATAATTACCTAAGTATTGTTGATTGTTACCATGTTTGAGGAGACACATCATCTGAAGAAGTTTTAGCAAAGATAGAAAATATAACACAGCTCTGCTGGTTCAGATGCATCCAAATGATATTGATTTAAAAAGGTCAAGACTTAATACTTATTCCACAGAAATAGTAGTAAACCACAAAAGTTTTTTTTTTTTAATTTCTAGCACTGAAGTGGCACAAAGGCTGCCCAGTAGACCAGCCACTTATATTCTTAAAATATTGTGCTTATAAACTATCTGTACAACTATTTAAACTTGCAGTAAAGAAAGGTATTGAAATTGCTGAACTTTATGTACTAATCCTAGGGCTGTTGCGGGCCCCAAATTAGACATTCAGTTATGAGAAAATAAAATTATAATTAGAGATAGGCTGGGACATATTAAAAAATGAACTGAGATGCCTTCCAATTAAATTATTAAGCAACCTCACACGTACAGGCTAAATTATTCATGACACTGTGAACCAACAACATTGTTAATGTGGATTATTTATGGTGGGAAGAGAGTATTCTAAATTTCATAGAAGCCACCAAATCTGAAAATATACATGTCTGCCAAAAGACCATGCTTTTAAAAATCCACTCAATTTTTTTCGTAAACAGTTCTGAATGTGATTTTGTCTCAACCTTCTCTTTTCTTTAATTCGCAAGCTTAAGTGGGTTCTCCTATAACACAGCAGTTTGTATGGGAAGGAAGCACAGAACAATCCTGTAGTTTAATTTTAAGCAAAACATTATTATTAGGGTGAAACCCTTGATCTCCATTTTTTAGAAAAATTGTCCCTTGCATATATAATAGGTACCTACTGTTTTCATAAAACTACTTCTGTAACATGTACTGTTATTGATATTTTTATTTCATATTTCTCATAGATGCCAGGCAACATCTTCCTAATACGATAAAACAGAAAGATTTACATCCATTTCCATAAGTAAACAGGCTTGTGCCACGCAGATTCATCAACAGCTGGTTTTCTTAAGCAGGAAAAAATAAGCAGGTCAAAGATCCAAAGACCTTGAAGGTGAAGAAACCACCTCTGTGCTGTTACTGTTGACTGCAGCTTGTGCATTGATTTGTGCAACCACATACAAAATTGCAGAAGGAAAATTCACTATTCTTTCTATCATACTAGGGGGATCACAATGGTAATAAAATCCACTATCACACATGATCACTTTGATCCAGCAAAAGTAACCTTTATGTAAAACACAGTTCTTTAAAAACTAAAACTTAACTCTTTTTGGGAAGGCAAATCGTCACTCCCCCACCCCCAAAATCCACACTTGCTGATGCGCTTGTAAAAAGAGAAGACATCTAATCCTGATACCTGTTTCCACCTCAAAGAAAAGGTCTTGTGCAATATTGTCCAAACAACTCAATCTCATATGAGAGAAATTAAAACAGGCTTGATAAATGATTGTTATTTTGAAAATATAACCCTGAATTACTTACCCATCATCCCAGTTCATCACAAAGAAATGTGGAAAAGATCTTAATTGAACTACCATCTTTCTGTGCACAGATATCTTCAATTCCAATTTCTTACAAATATTTTTACTTTTATTTTAGGCAGCTAAGATCTCTTACATAGCTTTCACACATTATACTGCATTATAAATGAAAAAAAAAGCATGCCTAATAACTATCCGGCAATTTGGAAAGGCACTAAACATAAATGGAAAAATAAAATCTTAAAAGTCAAATAACAGAATTACACTGGATGACAAAAACTAATTTCACTTCCAAAGAAATCAACATAATAATTAGCCAAAAACATCTGACATTTTTTTTTTAAATTCTGGCAATGCTGTGAATGTATAGAAGTTTTTCAAAAATCATTAAATACATCATGAAAAAAGTGAATGTTAGCAGAAAAATTAAGTGGCAGAACTAACCAAGAATCAGTTTAGAAAAACTGAAAGGAGAAATTGTCTGACCACAACAATGGGACTGAGTCCAACAATCATATGAAATATTAGTCATATGAAAGCTGATTGCAAAAAGAGCTGGACACGACATGTTCTAGTACATGGAGAAATACTTGTGGGTTTTAATCAAAAAGAGGTGACACATTATTTTTCAAGCAGAAGGGCATTTCTAACAGAAAAACCAATCCATAGATTGAAAAAGGAGTGATTAGTTGTGTGTGTACCAGCAATTAAAGTATAAACTTCTGAGATAATATCAATATGGTCGGAGCTTACAAATTTGGTTTTTTTTAAAGTTCACAATTATTTCCATTCTTCTCTCTTATTTGCCCCATCCATTCTTTAAAATATTTGGTCCCATTAATGTGGATTGACATGGAATTGATTTTGGACATAAGTTTGCAATCTAATGGATGCTTTTTAATTTGGTGCTACTCTTGGGGAGCCAAGGCATTTGGGGTGTTTTGATACCAGCCTATCTCTATTTATAACAAAGGTTTGTGAGGCAAGACCAACCATTCTTATCTGTCCAATAGTTGTTTCAAGGCTCTTTCTATGTTCATTCTGTGACCAACCCTAGTCACTCCAAGGTCTATCAAGTCTTCCTTCTGAAGGTTTGGTAAGTGAGTGCCATCTATTTCATTATCCATAAAGGTCTCTTTATGTTCACCTAAGTTTAAACTTTCCAACCAATCTGCCACATCTGGTTTAGTCCACAGGTGGACAGGTTTAGTTGTAAAAGGCTTATTTGAGATTGGCTGTTGCAATATTGAGGGAGAAGGAGATCTGCTGCGCCCTGTATTCAAAGCAAAGAGGTCTCCGGAAGGAGGCTGGCTGGGTAGGCTATAAACATCAGAAGGAGTCGGAGAAGGAGATGCAGCTGGAACAGCAGCAGTCAGAGGAGCAGGCAGGATGTCTTTACTTATCTCTGTTGGTGAAACCACTGGGCTTGGAGCATGTCTGGCTCCTGATGTCCTACTATCATAGTCTGGGACTCTGCTCTGAAGTGTGATAGGCTGGCTAGTTCCAGGCCGAACGGTAAAAGTGATGGTTGAACTCCGAGTACCTGAGACTGTGCTCATGACCTCTGTGCTCCTGAAATAAAAATGAACGAAAAACATTTTTTAAGTCACAGAATCAATATCATGAACAACTTTTAAAAGTTTTAAAAACTAAAGGCTATTATCTTAAATATACTATTAACATTCTCAGTTTCTGGCCATTAAATGCTTGTCAAACAGAATCAGGCAATAGTTTGTTTAGAGCACGAATGTCACTCGCTGTGTCACGTTGCCGTCACGTGATGTTTTTCTCATTTGTGGAGCTGGGGTGGACGTGGCCTCCGTGTGACGCATCCGGACACCAGTTTGACATGCCTGGTTTAGAGGTTCTTCAGAAACTGAACAATATGACAAAATCACCTAAATTAAATGATACTTTTGTTATTCTAATGTAATTTTTGTTTACTGCGCATGTGTCGTAGGAAGGACTATGACAATATGTATAATATAGCAGCAAGATACAAATTAAGAAGTAATTATAAAAAATATGCCACAAGCTTTGTAAAACATACAGAATAGCAGTAAATTTAAATTTAGCTTGCAATATTGCAGAAAAGCATTGGCATGTTTTTAGAAAGCAAATTCTAATATTTTATACAGTTGAACATTCTGGATATGAAACAGAGAAAACGAGTTTGAAACCTTAAGGTAGTAAAACATATACCGTAGGTGATATGAACAAAATTCAAAAACTGCTTTGGAAGGGGTTGAGAAGAGTACTAAATCAAAAGCCTCTAACAGGGCGAATGGAACCTTTTTTTTAAAAAAAAAAGTGATATAATTTGAGATGACACTGAAGTGAGGGAATTTTCTAAAGACTATTTTTAAAATGTACATGGGAATGCTAGATACTTTGAACAGTAGAATTCAAATATACCTAGAAATGTTAACATCCAAGAAAAATACCAATTAAAAGGAAAATATTATTTATAAATATTATAAGAGTACTGGAAAATGGTAAGATGTAATTGGCATAACCAAAGGGATCTAAAAATATGCCATTTTCTTGTGGAAGAACTAGCATCTTGTTTAATATTGAACAGAATGCTGTTACTAAAATTTAACAAAATATGGTTCTGCTCCCCATTTAAAGGGAAAGATAACAAGACTGAATGCAAAAACGACAGTGGGATTAAGTTGTTAACTGTCTCTAGGAAAGTGCTTGGCAGAATTCTAACTAAAAGGACACCAGAGGCAAAGATGAGAAAAATCTGGGAAGTTCAAGGGAGATTTATGTTGGGCTACATATTTAATTCAGCAGTCATTGAGAAAATGTATATTTCCTGATTATGATATAAGTGAATAGGTTTGAACCATAAAATAGTTGGAAATGAACACTGATGAATGCAATGAGAACAGGAGACAATGGAAGTAAAGCTTGCATGAAAATAAGCTTAGCAAGTGATCCAACACTGACCAGGGAGCAAGTAAGGATATGTGATGTCCAACTGCATTTATAAATAAATATAAAAGATGGCTTGTAGTGACGTGTTGCTTATATTCTGATTATGCCATGTTATTGGTCAAAAGCCAGAATGTTTTGCAGTACATACATACATACATATACATATACATACACACACACACACACACATATATATGATGCAACAAGGAAAAGAGATAAAATTACAAATTATTATAAACAAAACTATAACAAGAAAATATAAATGAAGACAGTCCTCACCTTGTTTAATGACTACCCAAAGTTACAATGGTGGTGTAAAAATAACTTGATGACTGGTTCTTGCACTTATGACTATCACAGAATCCCTGTGATCACATGATCAAATTTTGGGCACTTTGCAATTGACAGTGTTTACAACTATCATAGTAGACTGTGATCATGTGATCACCATTTGCTATAGGTGAATCTGAATCTTTGGTCAAATATTTAATAAAGATGGGAAACTGTATTTATTTTGATTTCTACAGTCACAGCCACCCATCTCAACATGACTTTGGACGGTGTACATCATAAAACATAAAAATAAATTAAAAGCAATTAAAACAATTCAAAATAAATATTATGTGATCATGGAATTAATACAACCAATAACTGTGAGAGGGATTTTGGAATTCTAGTGGACAATCACTTAAATATGAGCCAGCAGTGTGCGACAGCAGCCAAAAAATCCAATGTAATCCTAGGTTGCATTAACAGAAGGATAGAATCAAGATCACATGAAGTGTTATTACCACCTTATAAAGCCTTAATAAGACCATACTTAGAATACTGCATCCAGTTTTGGTTACCACATTATTAAAAAGATATTGAGACTTTGGAAAGAATGCAGAAAAGAGCACCAAAGAAGATTAGGAGGCTGGAGGCTGAAACATACAAAGAACGGTTACAGGAATTGGGTATGTCTAGTCTAGTGAAAAGAAGGACTAGGGATGATATGATAGCAGTGTTCCAATACTTGAGAGGCTGCTGTAAAGAAGAGGGAGTGAGTCAACCTATTATCCAAAGAAGGCAAGACAAGAAACAATGAGGATAGTTAACCAGTGGGACAGCTTGCCTTCAGAAGTTGTGGGTGCTTCATCACTGGAGGCTTTTACGAAGAGACTGGACAGCCACTTGTCTGGAATGGTATAAGGCAGGGGTGAAATGCTCCCGGTTCAGACCGGCTCGGGCGAGTAGGTAGCGGAGATCGAGGCTAGTTCGCCAAACCGGGAGCAATGGCTGGCTGGCCGCCCCCCCGAAACGGTCCACGGCCTGCAGTCCTGCCATGCTTGCCTGCCTTCCATGCTGCCTTCCTGGCGTCCGGGTGGCCAGCTTGGGAAGGCAAGCAACCAGAAGCCCACGTGGAAGGCAGGCAAGCAAGGCAGGGCTGTGGGGAAGGAGTCACAGCCCAAGGACAGCTGGAGTGTCTCTCAATTTGCAAAGAATCGTGATTTTTTTTTTAAAAAAAATGATTTATATGCCGCCCTTCTCTGGAGACTCAGGGCGGCTTACAATGCATTAAGCAATAGCCTTCATACTTTTGTATATTTATACAAAGTCATCTTATTGCCCCCATAATCTGGGTCCTCATTTTATCTACCTTAGAAAGGATGGAAGGCTGAGTCAACCTTGAGCCTGGTAAGATTTGAACTTGTAGTAATTGCAGGCAGCAGATGTAGGTGGATGTTAATTAGTCTGCTGAGCCACCAGAGCTCTTTGTTAAAAAGATCAGTAAGCCTAAATATCAACAACAGAGACTGAGGCTGTGTGTGTGTGTGTGTGTGTGTGTGTGTGTGTGTGTGTGTGTGTGTGTGCGTGTGTTAAGCACGAAGCATTACAAAGTGCTGGGCTATTCCCGACACCTTCCTTCCCGGGCACAGCAAAGAACCGGGAAGTCTGCGCGCGTGTGCCCAAAGGAGGGGAAAAAACCCCCCGCTACGCAGCAGATACAAATATCTCGGTGACCAGGATCCTCCCACCCCCACCCCAGGCACGCACATGTCCCCCCTGACTCCCCCCTCCTTTTTTACAACGGTATTCGGGTTACATTATGAAAGGAAAGACAATTTCGGCAAAGGTTTTCCAGCCTGTGGAAAAGTGAATTGGCCAAGCTGGTGGGGCTTGGCTGCATTACACACACACACACACACACACACACACACACACACACACACACACGATTTAAAATGAAAGGCATCCGCTTTGGAGAGTCCAGGTCCAACCTTTGCAAATATTACAGGTGGTTTGCAAAGCGCGAAGGCGGCAATCGGTGCACGGCGCTTTGCTGAAGCCCCTTTATATTCCGGTTAAGAGAGCGAGCCCCTCTTAGGGTCTGCGGTAGCCATGAAATGCAAACTTTCTAATAGTGTCCGTGTGTGTGGAAGGTTCAGGCAAGCGGGGAACAATAGCTGGCCGCCCCCTTTTGCGCTCCGACATCCGTTCAAAGAGCGGCTTTCAAATGTCTGTGTGTGTATGTGTGTGTGTGTGTGAATTGCTGTGATTATGCTTTATTTTTTTTCCCCAATCAGGCTTTACAACTATGCATCTCTATTGATGTGCAGGAGTGGGGGGGGGAAGAGACGGCTGGGCACGTTTGACTGCAGGTGGAGGCCTGGGTGGAAGGTGGCTTTTTCTGCAGCATCACCCTCCCCTCTTTGGATCGCCCTGCAAGGGGGAGGCTCTGCCTTTGCAAAAACGGGGTGGGCAGTTTGTATGGAGGATTGGCAAGGGGGGGGGATGTGCGGCCCTCTGGGATGAAGAGCAGGGCAAGAGAAGGCTCCGAGTTTCGCCTGGGCAGTCAAGCGGTGGGGGCTTCAGAAAGGCAGAATGTGCTTTTGTGCAGCTCTTGGCTTCTGTGACATTCTGTGAAAGCCAGAATGTGCTTCTGTGTCAGAATGTGGAGCTCCTGGCTCTAATAGTGAGTGATGAGAGTGACGTCAAACTGGCCATGCCCACCCGGTCACATGACCACCAAGCCACGCCCACAGAACTGGTAGCAAAAGAATTTAGGTTTCACCCCTGGTATAAGGTCTCCTACTTGAGCAGGAAGTTGGACTAGAAATCATCCAAAAGCCCTTCTAACTCTGTTATTCTGCTACCTACCCAGATAATTAAAATTTTTAAACCATAGAGATTTCTGAGTAGCTTATGAGCCTTATAATCAGTAGAGTGAAATGCTGAGTAAATAGAATCTCAACAGCAACACAGAAGCAGCATCTGAGTAGTTATATTCATTTGCTATAATTTCTTCCTCTGAGATGAGACATTTTTGTCAGCTGCAATAATATTTCATATTAATTAAATGGGTTCATTAACATAGATTCTGACAGATTTTACTGTTATTTTTCTCAAGTGCAAAAAGCAGATTTGTAAATAGGGAAGGATGTAAACAAGAAGCCATCTTCAGTATCAGGCAAATGCATACATTAGAATAGACTAGAAGAAAGTAACAGAGTTGAAAGGGGCTTTGGAGGTCTTCTGGTTCAACCCTCTGCTCAGGCAGGAAACCCCATGGCATTTCAGACAAATGGTTCTTCAATCTCTTCTTTAAAACTTCCAGTGTGGGAACATTCACAACTTCTGGAGTCAAG